TGACTGCAGCGTCTAATAGCTTTGTCACATCAGTCATTCACCACAGTCTCAGAGCACAAAGCTCTGAAGGGACTGCTCACTGCACAGCAACTGTTTCATATTCACTTAAGTGGATGGACTATATGTATTTGGCAAGACAAATACAGATAATCATTTGCAGCATACTAGATAGAATATGATGACTTTGTATCACTTCTTTTTATTTAGTGAATATGAATCAATTTTTATGAATGGCCCACTGACTATGTTCTTACTTTAGTTCACTGTGCTCTGTCCATTGTCAATGTAACTTCAGGTGGGATTGAATCTCACTATGTATGTTGTTTTTTTTAACAGCTGAAAGACAACAATATCAAAATAAGATGGTCAAGCTGAGGGCTTACCCCCTCCTGGTGCTCTTCCTGTCCACTGAGTAACTAGACAATGGAGGAAGCCAAAGGAAGGATATGAATCCAGCTTCATATCCTGATATCAGTTCACTCAGTAGACTGGAATGGTCATGAGATTAAGCAAGATATGTCTGGGAATTGCAGAGATCTTCTTATCTAATAGCTCCCAGCTCACAATATGTAGTGGGAGATGGATGGAGAAGGAGACTACCTACATTATAGTACATTACATTGCAACCTACAGTAGTGCTGCATGGGTGCATGGGCCACGGCATACAGTACCTAAAGACCGATCAAAAGAGGCTCTTATTCTCTTCAAGTGCAGAATGCAACACCGCAGCAAAATGGAAACACGATTTCCATGAAAGTCTCTTAAGATGTTATATAAGAGCAAAAATATTCCTTCGCAGATAAAAGTCTTCCTATCAGCCGCCTCCCATGCTGATAGTGCCTTCACACTCAAAGAAGCCCTTTGATAAGCACATTAGACGGAACAGCCTGGACGCAATGGTGATGTCATGAGAATTAACACGCTACCTTGCTTAGTGTAGCAGTGGGCATAAGGGCTAATTCACAGCACTGTGGCGAGAGGCTGGGAGACCCGGCTGAAATGAAGTGAGGTGAGGCCACTGCACAACAACCAGTTAAAATAAAGCTTCTATGTACTTTAGTAAAGGCTATAACAAGCACAACATGCATTAAACATTCACAGCATACTCCACTTTTGGAACATTTTGTGTTTTCCTGCTGTATTGCTATTACACTACAAACTGCCTTGCTGTTGAGAGGCCTGTAATCAGAGCTGTGGTGTACCAGTCATAGGTCAGGTGGTGCTCTGCCAATAGTGAACGTTACTGTAAGTATAGCCTTTTGCTGTGATTCAGGCACAGTGGAAGAGACAATAGAAATAGTCTCTTCATACCTTCCTTTCAGCCATCTCCCCCACAATTTAGGAGCTTTTATTCCTAACCACCATCTTTCTCTTTTCACCCTGCCTTCTATTCACATGCAGTACAGTGCAGTACATGAATAAGTTAAATTCAGAAAGCTCTCCTGACACAAGAGGGAGAACATGATAGTGAAATGGTTTTCCAAGACTCACAGCAGCCGAGTAAATTCCTTTGGCCCATTTCATTGAAAGCACATCTCAAGACACAGGTGATGTTGTTGGCTCATGCGGTGGGTTGAGTTCTATGTTTATTCCATGGACTAGCGTTGGCTTCAGCTTTGCAATAGAAATGAACATAAATGGAATATAATGTATAAAAGTAAAGCTAAGGTTCAGAATTGAGCACAATGTAGGCAAGATGCAAAATGAAGAGTTGTCTAAAAATATTGTTGTATTTTAATGGCAGTCCCTAAGATTCTCATGTGCAGGAAATAATTCACACTGATATCAAATCACAGCAGAATGCATGGAGGCCTTTCAGTGCATTGCAGCCTTCTTTACTGAAGATGCATCATACTGTATACTGCAAACCCAGAGATCTACTGTAGGTTAATAGTCAGAGCTCAGGTGGATATGACAGATAGATGTTTCCCTCAGGACAGCGAGGTTCCAAGACCTTCTGCAATGGGGAAAGAAATAATAAAAGAAGCTGAAGTATCACACAAGCACACTAAAAGACATAAATGCACACAGAGACAATAGTGCCTAGTTGGTTTGACGTCAGCCATTCATTTTTCTCATTTTTATTTGAAGAGCCAAATTTCTATCAACACAGGTTTGGACTGCTGTGAGAAAATAGCAGCTGGCCTTGTTCCCATTCATCTTTGTGAGCCTCTCAGGGCCTTGTAAATAGATTACACAAGTTTTCTTGTCTGTACTCTCTGCAGCCCCCCTCCGCAACAAACAGGCCATATTTTTCATTACAAATGCTACCGAAAATCCCAGCCTCAGTTGTATTCACCTCGAGCCAGCCTTACTTCCCAAAAGACAGACCCCACAATTTGACACAACATTTTGAAATTACCTTTATCACACTATTCATAATGCAAAATTTGTTGTTGTTTTTTTTTGCACCCTAATAGTGTGCAGTTTTTTTTTCTTTCTCGGTCAGGTCACTGTAGTGTCTGGGGCATTCATTCTGCAGCATTTACATGTAAGAGCAAAGTTCGTCTGGAGTTGGATGACCTTCAGGGCTTCATGTGGTTCCTTCTATGGCCATGTCTCTGTGTGACTGCAGCTGATTGGCCAGTGTGGGAAGCCAGGTCTTGACAGGTGTTTGGAAGAGGGACACCTGTTTGGCCATGTGCTGATTTTGTGATCCATTTACTGGTAGCTGTGGGCAGCATCTGTGGGACACCCATAACATGCCAAGTAATCTAACAAAGAATTACAGCCATGCTCTCCCAGTCCTTCAGCATTATATGCATTAGAACACCACAGAGATGACTAGGTCTCGGACACCAAATGTCAGGCGGTACCTTGCATCATGGCTTCTACATATGTATGTTTTTGAAGATATTTGCTCTAGTGATTCTTGTCATGTATCATGGAACAGATATGAGTGCTGCCTGCCCTTGTCTACCGTATCTGGTTTCCGCTCACCCACTGTGCTGCTGCCACCCCTCCCTAAATGGATTGGACCAGTGGGAGCAGCGTACTAAAGGCTGGCCAGGGCTGCTGTGAAAGTAGAGCAGCCTTGCCCATCCTGCATAGCTGTGCCCGACCAGTCCAACCAACATATTCACATAATGAGCAGGTTGTAACTTAAATTTGCAGGTTGAGATCAGATCTTTTACTCACTGGTGGAGAAAGTGCATAGTTTAACCCCTAGTAAACACAGGCCTTTCAGGACCCTAACTAAAGAGGGTTCGGTCAGTAAACAGGAAATGAGCCAGCAAGGCGTTTTCTTAGAATGAGAAGAATGCCACTGCTCTGTACCGCAGTAATGCATCTGTGGTACAGTGCTGGCCATTCATTATCTAGAGGTCTACTCTCTCTCTTTCTCTCCTCTTAGCATTGTGGACACTTATGTTTGAAGAAATGTAGGTGCTTTTCTGAACTTCCTTGTTTCTGTGTCAGCTATGCACAGTATCACTTTTCTGTCTGCACAATGTAGATTAATGTTCTTGTGCACAAAAATGTACATTTATGTCTGTCAGACATTCTATGCATGTGATTGCATGGAGCTGGATTTTGCAGTGAAGGATTTAGCATTGCCTGGTTTTAATGAGCAATGATATTATGCAGGTGCCTCATAAACTCATAGCACAGGTTTTAGGAAATGTGACGTATGCTGAGGTTGTGGTGAGCAGAGCTGGGTTAGCCACATTGTCTTCACAGACCTAAACGTACTGTCACACCACTGTCAGAGGATGTAGCAGATGTAGAAGTACCAACCCCCAACCCCTGTCTCTTCACACATATACAAATCAGCCACACACTCTCATGCTCAACACACAGACATGGCACATATGCACCACACACACCATATCATGTAGTTTCAGGTTCTCTCTCTCAGACACACATTTTCCACTTTTTGAGTGATGACAAGCAGAGACAGAGAGTAAGGTCTCATTAGTGTGTGTAGGTTCCTTTTCTCTGGCACACACTCTGACCCCTATATTCATCGGAGTCAGCGACCTTCTTGTTGTAACATGGCCTCCGAGGCAGTCCACAGACAAGGCAGGGTGCTGCTGTGGAACTGCAGCAGCTCGATAGAGAAAACCTTAAGAGCCACACATAAATCATGTTTTGATGTACACTGCTTTCATATCACAAGCTGTCACATGCTTTCAGCAAGTCTTGTTAACACAGCTATTCAGAGCTGTAATGAGGAGCAGAGAACAGCCTGTATGAAAGTGTGCAAGAGAGTGTTGCATTCATTTGTTTAGTTGTATGACTTTTTTCCCCGAAGTTACAGTAGGCCCTTTATAACACCAGAACATACCGCCCTATGTACTTATGAGCTCTTAGCTTTTACAATAATTGCTCAATTTCATGCTTAAATAAGCATTGTTGACCATATGTGATTATCCATTTTATTCTTTGCATGCATTATCTTTGTTAAGATCCCATAAGTGACAACCATAGTGAATTACAGTCTGGGACAGACGAAAGTGCTTGGCTGTAGGATCTTCTTATGCAGGGGTTTCCTCCAGCTCGGTGGCTTATGATAATTCAAGTATAATGAAAAAAAGCAAACACACACTTGCCAGAGAGATGGAAGAACAGAGAAGGATGGAGGCAGGGAGGGGTCTAAGAAGGAGAGATAAGGAAGGGAAAAGGGAGGAGGACAATATTTTGTTTCTCTGAACACTTCTGAAACATGCAATAGATGTTGATTTTTGGTACATGCTTGATTTTTATTTATTAATTTTTTTGGATACAAATGTTCAGGTAACAAACAGCAACACACAGAGCAACATGTATATTGTTTCTTTTCAACTGTGCAATTTCATTTCAGAAATTGAGAAACAAAGGCCATAATGACTGTGCTAGTCCTGATCCCGATGACTGTTTTGGGCACAGCCCCCTCATGGACGACCATTTCGGCAAACTAAGCGAAGAGAGTGATTTAATGTACAAGCGCTGTGGTGTAAGTACTTCCTTTGTCCCCCGCTATTTTGTGTTGATTCCTGTCTTTATGTTGATGTTCACTACAGGCGCTAAACAAGAAAGAACACAGAGGTTGTGATAGCCCGGACCCTGATGCCTCATATGTCCTCACTCCTCACACAGAAGAAAAGTATAAAAAAATTAATGAGGAGTTTGATAATATGATGAGAAATCATAAAATCGTAAGTACTGTAAATGCACCGTTTTTGCTTGGCTTTGTGGCACAAAGGATTTTCACACTTTTTTTTTCATTTAACTTATTCCTCTTTTTGTTACCCCTCCCCCAGAAACTGTCAACTTCTTTTGGAACTCCTCTAGTTTAAGATTAATGCCCCTTTCTACTAGATGTGCATTTGTTTTTCTTGTTGATTTGTTCTGCAACTGATATTTTGGTACACCCTGATAAGATCACATTTCATTAACAGGCGAACTGCTTCTGCTGGAAACATTACATCATGGTCACATTATCACAAGTTAAACAGCAGTTGCTATTTGAACACAGCAACTTGCAGTAAATATGTACTTACTTGTGTATATTACGTGTTTATCATAAAGATTCACTCTTTCTATGATTGAGGGGTGGGTTTCTTCCATCTCAAATCTGGTTTCCACCTCATAGCCTCACACACACACACACACACACACACACACACACACACACACACACACACACACACACACACACACACACACACACACACACACAGACACACACAAACAAATAAACAAAGAAAGTTTTTAATTTTTATTTTCACAGTCCCTCAATAATGCAGTGTTTACAGTTTCTCCCTTCAAATATTTCTATGACCTTCTTCTCAAGGCATTCTAGCATAAAATACTATCTTACTCCTGAACAGTTCCGGCAGCAGTGTTCCCAGAACTTAGAAAACTACACTATCATTTAGCATCTTCCCTCTCTTTCATCAAGTACCACTCTGGCTCACTCTTTAAAATACCACAAATCTTTTGTGATCTTATCACGTGTGATAATATTAGAATTGTGCAAGAACATAGTGCTTGCTAAGCAGTCGTTATCTCTATGTTCCTGACATGAAGAGCATCACTTTGCCATTAACAAACTAATGCTAATACCCGACTGGCTCACTGGATAATGCTGTAATGAAACGTTCTCACTGCCACCTGTCATTCTCACTTATGCATTGTACAGTCAGCACTTTGTAGGTAAATGGAAGTGAGGTACAGTTCTTGAGGTTGTTAATGCCCACTACCCAGCTCTGCTGGGCTGAGAAACACATTACAGCTTGGTGTTTCAAATGGCAAAGTTATGTCTGTGGTGCTGACTGCTGCGATGCAAAAGTGATCACCTGAATGCATGTTTTGGATTTTATTTTTTGTGTTTTGTGTGCACTACGGGAGCACTGAAGATTTCTGTGTATTCTGTATGTGTTATGTTAATAAGAATAAATATTTTTGATGGTTGTGTGTTGTCGCTAAGTAGCTCTCAGATGTTTGGCAGAAATGTTTCTTTGAAACTGATATGCTTAAAATTAACTGTGTATTTTTCTGTATTCTTTTAATGTGCTCTGTCTGACTGTTTTGTGAATTTATTAGTTTATTAAAGCTAATCCTCAAGGGATGCTCTGTGTTACTGATGCCATGACAACCACTGACCCATCAGGTTCATCATTAGAATGGTCTCATTGAATGGAGTTGTGTGTAAATATTTGTTTGTGTGTGTCTCCCTCTTCTAGCCCACAGCATTGCCTCATCAGAACTTCTCCATGCATGTGGCAGTGCCTGTGTCCAATCCTAATGCCATGTACCAGCCAGGAGGGACTCTGGGCAGCCAGGCCCTGGCAGCAGCTACAGCCTCCTTGACTGACAGTGGGATGCTGTCCCCTCCACAGGCCTCTCTGCACAGGAATGTGGGCTCCAGTGGAGGCCCCCAGAGGCCCACCAGTGCAGGAAGTGCAGGTTAGCTGAAAACAGCTCATTCCATTGGTTGTTGTTAGCATACTAAGGATTATTACTAAAGATATAATTATAGCATCTTTTCAAGTTATTTTGCACATTTTTGTTGTTTGTAGACAAATTATACAACTCTACTGAAAACCAGTGGTGATCAACCAGGAGGTCGTTAGCCTAGCTTAGCATAGAGACTGGAAACAAAGGGAAACATCTAGCCTGGTTCTCTTTAATGCTTTAGTGTTCATATAGTTAACATGTTTTATTTTGTTTATTTAATAACAGAAATATAAAAAAAAATGTGTGGGTTTTGAAAGAGTTAAAAGCTCTACTACCTAAAAAAATACACACACACACACAGCAGCCTATATATTATTTTGATGAACATCTGTGCCTCCAGCATTTCAGTGTCTACACTGGATGCCTGGGAACATAAAAGTGATGACAAAACTACAGTGATATCACCCAGCTAGGAAATGAATTAAAACAGTAATATTCTTCCCATCTAACTCTTTGCAACAAAGTAAATAATCACAAATGCATTTCCAAAAGTGTCAAACTATTCATTTAAGATAATTATCGGATTTTTGTTGTTGTTGTTTGTTTGTCATGTCATACTGACATCCTTTAACTGGTGTTTGTGTGGTATGCTTTTTTCACACTCTCAGGACACCTTTTACTATATTGCATTGCAAAAAAATGATGTCAGTCTACTTGTATGACTGGTCTGACTCAGTCAGTCCAGAAGTGCATGCAACAAGGTGTGAAATGCATCACTGAAATTTAACCACATACCAGAGTTGGCTGACACCTACACCATTTGCAAGGGGTTTACTTAGTTCTTGTTTCTCACAGTAACTCCTCTCCTTTATTAGCTATTGTTTGCAAGGTCTTTATTTATTTATTGATTTGCTTTTTTTCTTATGATTCATACTGGATCATTGTATTTCAGAACTGAAAAATGTTCAGGCTTGCTTTGATTTAAATGTATTTCTTGAAAACATCTGCTTGGTATGACAGTTGAGAAATAGATGCCTGACTTCCAAGAAAATAAATAATTGCTTTCTGAAGGGGGATCCTCATAGTGGCATGCTGCATTCATCTTCAGCAGTATATACAATACATAACAAACACTGTGCTGAACACAGCTTCATGGTGCTCTCTTTGATTATATATTGAATATGTCCCACTATGAGGACACTGGTAGGAGCACTGGCCTTCATTTTGTGTGCAGTGAAGATACAGTTGCAGGTAATGGCACTGTTTGCAATTTCCTGGTTTTCTGCATAAATTGGTCAAGAAATGTGATCTGATCTTCACCACAGACATAAATATCAACAAACGCAATATTTCTAAGCTGATAAAACACAAACAGTCATGATCTTTCATATCGTTATTGAACACACCCATTAAACAAACACAGAGTGGAAACAATATTGGCAGCAGTGTTAATCACTGGTTGAACCACCTTTGGCAACACTAACTTAAAGCAAGCACTTCCTGTAGCTGTAGATTAGGCCTGCATGATGTTCAGGAGGAATTCTGGCCCATTTGGTGTAGATCATTTCATTACCAATTTATGTAGAAAACCAGGAGATTGCAAACAGTAAAATTACATTTTCTTGCAACTGTATATGTACATTACATGACATTTTCAGGTCTGGTCTGGCATCTCCAACACATGCTCTGCTAGCTTGAGGAAGGATGCAGATGGTTAATCATATCACTCTGTGCATTTCATTAGGTGGCATGCTGGATAATACAGACCTTTCAGTGCCAACTGGTGCGGGCTCCAGCCCAGCAGGTAAGTCCTCCCAGAGAGAATCATTAGCTCTCTGTAGCGTTGCCCAATAGGCCTCCTGCTTAGCACATGAGCCGGATAGTTGCGTATCCATCTGTGATTGGTTCAAAGCAGTTGTCACTATCACTAACAGTGCCTTTACCTGACTATATTTTCACTGCATGCAAAATGAACACACGCATTGCTCCTCTCAACAGAGGGAGCATATGTCATGCCTTTTTGATGCATGTTTGAGACATGGCAAAGCATTAGCAGCATTCACACAGTATGATGTTTGCACTAGAAAGGGATAACCAGGCAAGGCAATTAGCTGTCCAGCTGATTTTGGCAGGTAAATAAACACACCCTTTCCTTTAAACTTGTCACCTCTATGTAGCCCTCCCACCTCCTGTTTCCTTCCCCCTATTGACAGGTGCATCTGTTTTCCCCCACTACCCTGGCAGCCCTTATAAGGCTGGAGAGGGTCTGTAAGATGCCTAGACCAGCATAACCCTGCAGGTATTTCAGCCATGACATCCCACTGAGTCAACAGTACACAATGACCGGACAACCTGTCATGGCTGCAATGTGCTGTGTGAGAGGCGGAGGCAGGTGGACTTTAACTCAGTCCTTAGCACTTAGCTTGTTGTACTCCACCCTAGTTGTTCTGGAAAAATGCAGCATGTTGTTGTAAAATGAGATGATAATCAATGATGTAAACTAACTGAAGAATATAGACTTAAGGGAACATTTGATTAGTCATTGATTAGCAAATATGAAGACCAGCTTGGATTGGTTCATGGTCAGCATTTTAAAGCGAGTGCAGGTTAAGTTTTAAGTTTGGGGTGTGATACCGGGTCAGGGAAGATTTAGAGACCTCTGCCAGTGGGTGTCAGGTTTGGCCCAGTGTGAGCATGCTGCAGCTGTTGTTTGTACCAAGTGTGTAGAACAGCAGAGACCACAGGGAAGAGAAGCCTCTCCAGCCCTGCTGTCAGATGACCATTTCTGGCATAGCTCTGGTTTTTCACAAGTAGCAGCTATGACCACAGTAAAAGTGTGTCAAAGCGGCCAGATGGGAGATGTGTGATAGCTTTTTTCCTGTTCAGCAGTGTCATCACAGAGAGATGATTGCATACATGTTCAATGAGGTTGAGTGAAACAGAACAAGCTGTTCAACCTAAATGACCATATTGGTCATTTGTCCTTACAATAAGATATTACCCATAGGGACGTACCAGCAGCAGCCATACCAGACTTGCATCATCACTGCAACAATAATATGGTTAAGGTTGTGCAATGGTCATGGTTTGGTTTGATTTAGGCACATAAACAACTTGGTTTGGTTTAGAGAAACATTGTGCTTTGGGCTAAAATGAGCACCTCATTAAAGTTTGAGGACCTTCATTGTCATGTGTATAAAAATAAACACGACTGTGAAACCGCCATAGATAAAATTGGTTGGGAACAGGAACCGAACAGTGGTTGCCTGTGTGGAATTCCTGTGTTTTATCTACTCATTCCTCCTCGTAATATGGACATCAGTCCTTGCTTGTGTCATAATTACTACAGCCACCGGGGGCACAATTACACAATTAAATGTAATAAGTTGCTTGCGCTGATGATCTCTGGTGTCATTTTTACAGGATGACAGTATCATGAAATATTGTCAAATAGAAGAGCTTTTTATTTTTCCACACAACCTCTGGGTCCTTGTTAAGAGTGATGGACAACTGTTTTAATAGTGGAACTGAAAACAGTGATTATGAGATTTTAGTTGATTGTGAAAATTGCCTAACTTGTCGGCACACATCTGTTGATGTCACATTGAACATTAATGGAGAGATTTTTCAAGCAAACAAACAGTTGTTTTCTAAATTTGCCATCTGTTGTTGCACATTGAGTACATGCTTTTTCTTTAAGTCTCATTTTATAATGTTATTAGAAAACAGTACTATTTTTTGATACCCTTGATTCCCTAATATTTCTTCACATTCATCAAGACATGTTCTTTGTTGACTGAACCTGAAGCACGTGGGATGTTGGACACAATAAGTCTTCCCTGAATGTGAAATGAAAACTGAATGTTCCAGTTGTAAACACAAGGCCTTATGTAATGTCCCTTTCCAGACAGTGTTAATAATGCAGGACAATGGACAGAAACCAGCTTTCAAGATGTGTAGGTTTCAGTCAGAGAGGATTTATTGAAATAACCATTCTGTTAGAGAAGTCTGAGTATAGAATGAGGGCAGCCATCAGAAAAGCCTGCTGAAATGCCCCTGCTGAAAGGTTGGGTCTTTTCTTTTGGTTGTTGTCTTGGCTCAGAAATAACTTTGTGGTCTAAGTATTTGTTCAGACATGTGTTCCCTCTTGGCAATTATTTGAAAGAATTTTGGGATTTAGTCCTCAAACATTTGAAATCATAGTTAGAGGCACATTCCAAAGATTTGCAACTCAGGTGGAATAATCCAAGTCTAACTTAGCCAGTAAATGCAGCACTGAGTGTCAGTCCCTCTGTCTTTGCCTTGTGATGAGCTGGCAGTGTGTCCGGTGTGCAACACTGTCCTCAGCCCAGGATTTATTGGTATAGATTCCAGTGTAGAGCTGCAACAATTAGTCAATTAATTAATCAGTCGATCAACAGTAAATTATTCAACAATGAACTGAGGGTGATTATAACAATATTTTTCACTCTTTTTCACATTTTATTGATAATCGATTATTTGAAAAAAAAAGCTATAGGAAGACTAAGGAATAATGGAAATAATCATTCAATTAATGTGTAAACGATGGGCAAAGAGTTAGTTATTCACATATACAATTCTTTCTGTAAGTTATCCAGATGTTTGGCAATACCCTTTTCAGGATAAACCTCAGGCTTATGACCTGTTGTTCTTTTGGTACACGTCTTATTGAGTTCTTCATTTAAATATATGTAATTTCAAGGTATATGCAAGAACATAAAACATTCCAATTGATATTTTACTTTCAGCTTTGCATATGTGTTAGTGGAAGATGTCATATAGTCTTGATGTTTGCTATACAGCGGTCTTGTAATCCCATGTGGGAGTGGGCAACTGGCATAATACAGAAATGAAAACTAATACTAAGTAACTAACTTCAGGCCTTGTTCACAAAAGACATTTTGATGTCATAGCAGAATGACAGGTATAATTAATGACAATAAAAACTGCATTACACTGAGGTTGACTATAGGGCTCCGTGGCCAGTGGTGTGGATTACAGCAGCCTCCACATGTCTGTTGTGAATAAGGCAGGCCTGTTGCTGTTTTGTTTGTTTTGTAGTTCCCAGTTTTCATCATATCACAACTTAGCGATTGTAGTCAGAAAACTCTTCCCATGGTTCACTGCCACACTGCAACCCATTCCTTTACATGACATCTCATTCCTACTGAATGAAACCCTCACTTTTAAAATGTAATGCTTTTAATCATGTCTGCTATTTTTAGGTCTTTGGACATTTACTCAGCTAATTCTGTAAACCCAGTTTTCTTGCAGTTTTGTTTGATCAAAGCCTGAGCTGATGGCCATAGCTGCTTGTATATACTGTTGATTCAGCTGTGAGATACTATTGTAGGCTTCATAACTGTTTATTTGACCATGAATTGTTGCTGTCCTTATCTGTAGTCAGAGGGGCTATTGTTCCATTATGTTCCTGTGCAAGAGCCTGCTCACTGTATACACACTTTGTGTTACACTGGGATACATTGAACACAATGGAGAAGTCAGCAACTTGTTGAAGTGTTACTGATCTGTTGATACAGTGCTAGATACCGTTCAGTCATTCTTTCTTCCTCTTGTTTTCCAGATTCACCATGGTCTTTTGGTTTTCATTTTGAATATATATTTTAAAAGTGCATTGTTTTCAGCCTCACATAAGGTAAATTCAATTCAAAATTCACTATTGCACTATAAGAGATCCTGTTTCAGGAACTTTTGACCGCTAGGATTAATGCATCTTCCTCTGAAACAGCCTAGTTCTAGATGGACACTATAGGATTAATTAAGGACCTTTCAAAGGACCTATCAACCATATAGACCTTTTTGATTGTACTCTTGCTTTGTTGTTATTGTTTTTTTGGTTTGACAACCATACACAGGTGGGGTGGGGGCAACGGGGCTGGGAAAGGGGTTTATGTTCATGTTCTGTTATGCTCAAAAATGTAATAAACATTCAAATAAAAATTGCAGCACATTCCTGTTGTTTTTCAGAATAGTGCATTGCTCCATGTTTATTAGAGTGGATTTTTGAAAAAACAAACCAACAAACCCTACAATATACGGTAAGTTATATGGTACAGCGTCTGATAACTGCATTATACAGCTTTGCAGACAGAAGTCACAACAACTGTTAAGTGTGTAACAACAACAACAAAAATTCTCTAACAGAGTTTAAAAACATGACCACACCTAATAATAGTATCCATCCTGTTCATGAGAAATTTGATGTGCACTTGGTGTGAGGAAGGTGTGAGTTCCTAAAATAAGTTGGTGGGAATTCTCTTTTTTTTTTAAAATGAAAGTGAATAATGACCATACAGAGGATGGTGTGAATGTTGAAGCGAGTTTCTATCACTTTTGCGCTTGTTTGTGTTCACAATGTGAAAAACAACACCTCAAGTTCTTTTATGGTTTTATGCAGCTGTAATGGCTTCAGCTATTTCTTTTAAGCAGTCACAGTACATTTGTCAGTGAACTTCTCCTCATCCCAAGATACAAAGAATTGACTTTGATGTAATCATTCACAGTAAAAATAAAAGGCTCATCAATTTTGAAATGGACATTTTATTTTTGCAAATGTGCAGGATAATTATCCCAGTCTATTAAAACTTCCCAGAGGGTTGGAAACACTTAACGCTGCATGCTGCAGCAAGCTGGAAAACAACGCTGTGCAAGAGCTTTGCTTGATGACTGGGAGTGTTGTCAGTCACAGTCCCTGGTTTGATGATGTGTTTCTGTTGCTCTCTACCTCTGCAGGGAACGGTTTTGTTAACTCCAGGGGCTCTCCAGGCCTCCTCAGCACACCCAGTGGCAATGGCCTGGGTAAAGTTATGCCCACCAAGTCTCCACCACCCCCTGGGGGGAATATGGGAATGGGAAGCCGCAAGCCAGACTTAAGGGTTGTTATCCCTCCTTCAAGCAAAGGGATGATGCCCCCACTGGTGAGTACAGACCACACCACTGCACACAAGCATCAGCAGCTAAAGGACCTTTACATGTCTCTGCTACAGGGCAGAGTGGAGCATTGTCTTGATCTAGACTTTCACAGCAGAATGTTTTGCAGGCTTTTTCCTATACATGCTTTTGGTGCCATCACATCAAAATAGCACGCTGTGAGGTTGTAACCTCACCCAGGACTATGCTAATCTGTCAAGTGGTACTCATCCATTGTGTGCAGGCTTCATCTGAACAGTGTTCCTCTTGTGCTGCGTTCTTCTAAGATCACCTCCATTAAAATGTGGATTGAATTGCCCATATGCCATTACTCTCACTCAATTATTTACATTTAAATGAGAAGCTTTTTCTAATTGTAGTAATGAAGGTGCAGAGTGCTCTGAACACCTGAGGCTAAACTAGATTCTCCTGGTCATAAATCAACATTAAAAAAAACTATAGCTGAGGGATTTGCAGGCATTGGACAGCAATGTACTATTTCCAACTTTGCCTGTTGCTGGTGTTTTCAGCAACAGGAGCTACTCCAGGAAAATGACTGTTTGGTAAATAAACCTCGAGTTACTGTGGATGGTCCTCCTTTGCTGAGCCTCGACTGGCCTGGAGCGGTGTTTCAACAACCGTGTGTTACCATGTTGGCATGTGGAATCAGTAGAGCAGGACAGGTTGTGTTGCAAGAGGTCTGAAACAGGCTAGGCAGTGGTGGGAGGTAGGCTCTGTTCTGTCTGAGCCAGCAAAGCATTTTAGATT